GCGGCGGCGGCCGCCGCTGCGCCGCGCCGGGCGGCCGCGAACCCGCTGTCCGAAGAAGCGTCAGTAGGAGAAGAAGAAGTGAACGATCGCTCCCAGTCCTGGCGCTGCTCCCACTCCTGCACCTGCCGCCGCAGGCGTTGTTGCCGTTGCTGCAGCTTCTCCTGCTTCCTCCGCTCCCGCTCGTCCGCCGACGTTACCGCCGCAGCTCTGGCCGTCCTATTGGCAGCGGAGGCGGCTGCCGCTCGAATGTCAACCTCTCGCCAAGGCTGCGAGGGAGTCGGTGCAGCCGCCTCCGCCGCCGGAGGCTGAGCAGGGGTGAAGACGTTTCGGGAGACAGGCAGGTCGTCGGGATCGAACGGGGATGGCAGGGAACCTGTCACCGGCCGCGCGGCGGCGGCCGACGGTGACAGCAATCGGGCCGGCGAGTTGCGCCGGCACTGCGCTTCGTGCACCTCGCGGTTGTCGATCGGCACCTGCGGTGGGGCAAGGACCGAGTTAAGGCGTGTGGACAAACAATGCGGGGTTGTTTTTAGAAAGACTATCAGTTCGAGGTATAAACCCAGTCGAAAGGGATGTGCTGAAGTCTTTTCAGTGAAAGGAGGGGAACCGGCTGGAAACTGGGCATATTTTGAGTCTAAGCTTATACATTGAATTCTGGTTTTATTAAACTTGGTCATGACAAATAGCAGCCAGCTTGGAGTGCGAGGGCGGAGTTCGTCCCCCTCGGCTTCTGCTTCATCGCAAAGTCGTCGCCACACGGCGTAAAGAACGAAAGGCACGTGAACTGATGGCGTTGTCGTATTTAGTGAAACCTCAAAAAGCACTCCAATTCTAGGTTTGAACCCAAAGGCGCAGGGGGGCTTCTGCCAGGGGAGAACTGAGGCAAGGGCTTAAGCGAAGGGTCACCAACCTCTTTGAATAAAGTCCCGCCGCATGTTCCAGTTTTACTCGACAAGTGAAATTCGGAACTCGAGACAAAGGAGAAATACCAAACGAAGAACCCGACGCATACGCTGGGCTGGAACGTGACAAATTCACGCGAAACAGCGCCATCGCGCCGCGGCTGAATAGTCAACCATTGCGGTATGTCGAGAAACAAGGCACGTCATAACACTACGTAAAGCGTGTAAACGCGGGCGGATCTAACGCATCAATAACTGCACCACATCTGACGTCCTGTCCGATCGACGTAGACACGTGGCAAATATTACGCGGGTGTTGGCGGAGATTCTGCAAGGGAAACGATCAAATACGAGATGAGTCTGGTCAACACTGGCACCACCACCCTGAGTTCTATGAGAATCGCCAGCGCGCAGCTGCTGGAACAGCAGCTAGAGGGGTACGATACGTCGAACACTGCTGTCTACAAGGCCACGTCTTCTTGGTGAATACTTACCGTGTGAGGATTCCTCACAAACTTGCACTTATCCTTCGGACGCACATACTTCAATTGAGAACTTCGGGGTGGAGCCAGAAGGTCATGTGACCACGTTCGGCTGAACTGCACTATTTAGTGTAAATCGTAGTGCACGCCGCTGCTGATGTGCAAAGCGGAAACCCATTGAAGCTACTAATACCTGCTGTAACTACAACCGGCTTGATTGTTGGTTTGGCGGAACATCCCGCGTGTTAGATACACTCGTAGCATAGTAAAGATGGTTGAGTGTGGGACATGGATCTACGGAGTGTGCAACTGGTAGATTGCGGAGGAACCGAGAGTTTCTACTTGGTTTCTTCGGAGATTCGATGAGTGATCTGAATTGCGTGACGGATAGGTGTTGTGACTTTCTCTTCGGTTCCTCGGACACGAGTGTTCTCTGCTATCCCCTCCCCCTTCTAATAAAAGACTTTCTCATCTCGGCCCTCACTGGCCGAGCTGCCTTTATCCACAAACCTACAAGCTTCGGCCTACCCGGTTTACCCAAAACCGCGCACCTCGTATGCATAGTTTAGATTAGACCAACCTTCGCACAACATGGATAAGGCCAGAGAAGACGCGAGCGATGGTCATTTCTTCCAAAATTATCCATGGTGAATGAGGTTCAAGCCGATAGCACCCTGAGGCAGGGCTACACGGAACGTACACGACGGAGATTATTGTAGGTATAGCCGTGCGACGGAAGAGAAATTCCCAAATTAAGGCAAAATCATCATGTCCCACATGGGGACAAGGTAAATGCCAAAAAATTAACACTACAATCAGTTGTTGCTGAGTGTATACACATCATTCGTCACAGCTCTTACCTCGTGCCCACAGCGTTGACACATCCAATATGTCGCATCCATTTCGTATGCTGTCGTGGGCCCCCCGCTTGCCGATCACTGCTGTGAGTCCTTTGTCGTGCTACAGCAGTCGTGGACGAGTGGTATGCGGTGCAACTGGGGAACCACGCAGATTGGAGGAAGTGAGGTGGGGGTCTATGAGCCAGCAACCCCGGCAGTGGATCATCGACACCCTCACCATAGCACACTGCACACAACTTCCTCTGACCGCTCGGAGCTGCTGTGCCTTGACTACAGCACAAGCACTGGTACCATGGGTTTTCTATACAAGGCGCTTGCCGCGGGTTCTTGCTCCGTCTGCCTTGCTTCGGCGTTCGTCGCAACCCCTCCTGCTCCTCCCGCTGTAGCAGTAGTCAGAGGATGCAGCAGCCGCCGTGACTCATCATCTTGCCGTCGAGTCAGGCCCCGACACAGCAGTGGCAGCAGAACCGCGTACCGCGTACCGCCGTTGCTTCTCTCTTCTCGTACGGTCGACGTCGACGTCATCGATGTCACCGACGTCACGGAGGAAGAAGCACGTCGGGAAAAGGAACAGGTGACATGCTGTCTATGACAAACACAACAAACACGGGCTTACCCGCTGCGGTGGGATAGATCACTTTGCGTCTGCCATCGTCGGAATGCTTCGTAATCAAGAATGGGAGACAGACCACTTTGGACGCGGGCGTATGCACTGTATCCGTACACGTATCACGTGAGCGAACATATGCATTGAGCTGGTGGACAATACAGCATGGTTGCGTGGGGAGCCCCCCCTTCTTGAGGTCCAATGCCCGTGCTGTGAGGTTCAACGAAATCGCAAGGGAATCCAAGCAAACTGTGTTCATTTTTTGGCCGGAATAGATGGACCTTGATTGGTATCCATGTCTAGTCTACAACCTCGGTCCAACCTCGGTCGCCGTCTGCTCCCTCCTGTCTTTGTCGGACACGATCACACTCAAATGGCGCAATCAATCACGGAATGACTTGTGCGGTTTTCCTTACTCCTGTACACTCCTCCTTTCGGCATTGCCACCATCTCCCGCGGCACCGATTGTTGGGCGATTGCGACGACGACGACCACAACAACAACACCATCACCGAAAACATCAAAAACCAACACAATACCAGCAAGAGAGGAACGACAGGATCGGCAGACGCTACAAGGGCCGGCCGGCCGCGGAGGTTGCCAAGGACGTGCGGGATCTGCTCGACGAGGCCCTCAAAATATTCCGAGATGCCGGCCCGCAGGTCGTGGGCGCCCGTGGCTTCAGGGCCAGCCGGTGAGTGTCACCCCTTTGGTTTCTGTACAGCAGTATGTGGCCCGACACGCGTAGTGGCATGTAGGGCCAAGAGGAGAATATTAATATTTCACAATTCAGGGCGGTGCCACTATATTCGATACATCGGGTTCATGTACAGGTTAAGATTGTGAAAAGAGATTTTGACGCCACCATATCGGCAGTTTCACCGTTCAAGTTATCGGGCCACCTACTGTACATGCAAGGAGACATCAACGTTGCAGTAGAAATGAGCTACTCCAGTATTGTGGGTGTTTCTGCTCTCCTTCTTGTGTGTCCGACGTGTGCACTTGTACGGACTCGTGAGAAACCTCGTGCGTGCTAGTTTGGTTGCATGCTTTGTTGTTTCTGTTTGAGGAGACTCCTCGCGAGCTCGCCGCTCTGCGCCTTCTTCTGCCTGCCTGCCTGGAGCCGACTGAATTGTTGGGTCCATGTTTGTTCTCCCCGACCGCGTTCGCTTTTGTCGTCTCGTGCACTCCGCACCATTGTGCACGCGTTCTTCTATAGCATTACACACGCCGTTGTCGCCTCCGTCCCCCCATCTTGACAGCGACCGCGCTAACCGGCTGACCGATGAAAATATGTTTGTCTTGAAGCACGGGGGGGAAAAATGTTGCGCGTGTGTGTGTTGTTCTTTGTTATTCTTTCAAAGTAGCATCGAATGTCAGTATCAAGTGCGGTGTGTGTCTGTGTGTCCATGATCATCGCCGATCCCCAAGGCGCGTGTCAACTAACTTGTGCTTTTCGTCCCTGTGTCGGTGCATCGTTGCAAAAAACATCACCCACGGCCTTGGCACAATTCTTAGGGCCGTCCTCTTGACCTTGACCGACCTCGTGCGAGACTGGAGGGAGGGTAAGCTGCTGAGACCCAAGCGCGAAAACGGAGGCGGCGACGCGGCCACGGCGCCCTCGCCAGCAGCACCGCCGGCGGCGGCGGCGGCGGCCCTTTCGGGGCAGGAGCTGGACCCCGCAGGGGCTGCGCGCGCGTTGCGCTTGCTGTTCGAACGGGTGCGTTGACGGTGGAATCCACGTTGGTTGGGGAGTTGTAGAGCAAATACAAGCTGCTCTGAGATGATGAGATGTAGCGTGTGGTAGATGCACCCGTTGGTGTTCTTGGGTGTTCTCTCCGTCCGTATCTGGTCGGCGGGGCCCCACCTGCGTGGATCTAGTAGCTCTTGCTCATGGGTTGTTGCTTTTTGGGGAGAGAAACACGGAACCGTTTTCGAAACGCTGAACCGTTTTCGTTGTGTTTTCTCTTCGCTAGCTGTTTGGTAGATGAGACGAAATGCGGATGACCAGCGGTACCGTTCCTCAACCTTGGAGAACTTACCACTGGCCGCGGTCGAGTCACTCGCCCCTCCCCTCAAACCTCACTTCCCCCCCCTCCCCGCCTCCCAACCCCTCAACGCACCGCCACGATATCACGTGTGCACGCGGACGTTTTTTTTTGTGCCGAACTGTCTCGCGGTCTCAAGAACAGCTGGGCGCCACGTACATCAAGCTGGGGCAGTTCATCGCCTCTTCGCCGACGTTGTTCCCTCCTGAGTGAGTTTATGTTCCGATGCGCTCGTAACACCTCCGCACGATCGATTAACTGCTGTTTGTTGTTATTGAGTGTCGCTTATCTCGGCCTCGGTGTTTCGGTCTGCCCTTTTTTTTTTTTTGTGTGTGTGGTGAAGAAAACGTCAACGTGCGGGGTGATATTCTATTCAAACACGCGAGTCGCTAACGCGCTTTTCTTTCCGCCTTTTAACTATGATGCTGTAGCCAAACGGCCCGCACCCTTGCAAGTTGTCTCGCGCTCCTTGCCCGCCGCGTTTTGCTTATCGACGCAGCGACTGTTGACATCTATCGCCCAATTCAAGGCTATCAGTGATGAGGGTGCTCTTTTGACGTAATGCCCATACATTTTATACGATGACGAAAGTACTCCATACTGATGAGCACGAGCGCAACCATCAGACTTTTCTCTTGCTACACAAAACGAAATAGGTATGTGCTGGAGTTTCAGAAGTGCCTGGACGCCACGGAGCCCGTGCCATACTCCAAGATTCTAGCCATCGTCAAGGAGGAGGTGAGGGGGCACAGCCAAGGGAGGGGAGAGAAAGAGGGGGGGGGTGGAGGATGACGAGGGGGACTTTCAGGTCCGGTACCGCTTGAGTTGTGAGCAAAACGGTTGAGACGATTACGGCGGCGGGCGTGTACCCATAGGGGCTGTCAAACAGTGAAACAGTGAAGGTTCAACGTGCAAACCAGAGCAAGCAGTGGCGCGCCTCCTCAAGAGCCCCGCGGCGCTCTCGAAGCGACCACGCGTCAGTGGTAGTTTACTACAGGGTTGACATTGGCGATTCTCCGTGTCGGAATATGGCTTAATCTAGAGACGTACCTTGTGTTGCGTCCGACGCATTCTGAAAGAGTGACACGCGCCTCCAAGGATCGTACGTCCAATGAGTTCACCAACCAACACCTGTCCAATGCCCACCAATGGTACCTGTAAGGCAGTGGCCAAACACCAAACGGTGGCGTTTAGATCGGGTTGAAACCGGTTTGACTACGGTCGCAGTTGAAACCGGGGTGCTCAGAGAGGGATTAAGGATCCTTCAAGGCGTGAATTAAACCTGCAGTGACCTGCATCTAAGAGCAGACTCTTGCACCCCTAGCTAAGGGGTATTGCACGCCTTCGTTTTCGTCGACCACCGATCACCACCCGGAAAAAACACCTATTAACCCGAGAATAGTCGGTGCCCCACCATTGCGTCGTCGAGTCGCAAGCACGTGTTGCACGCGTTGTGCGCTACATCCTCTTCCCGTTTTTAGTGCCGTCCTCTCGCTTGTCGTGCGGAGCCACACGCACTACGGTAGCCTCTCCTCCCCCCCCTTCTCTCTCTCTCTCTCTCTCTCTCTCTCTCTCTCTCTCTCTGTGTGTGTGTGTGTGTGTTTT